ATACTACTCTATGTATACCAAGACAGAAATGCACACAGATTTCAGTACCCCTAATGCTGCAATACCACTCCATAAGCAAAAATGTCAGTAACATGATAAGAATGCCCTTTTGGAACAAAGCAATTTGCATTTCATTTGTGTAAAGTTGGCTTTGTGATTCTTTCTGTGTACAAATGTAATGATAATACTTGCGCCCTGTTGACCTGTATTATCAAACATCATTTGTCTGGCAGCCCTCAAAATCTTTTCATAAGAATGTTACTTCTCACCTGCTAAGATTTCCCTAAAATACTTTACAAGTACTAGATAGCAGTTCTATATATTATTAATTCTTTTCTGCACAGATATTTCAGACTAACCATATTATAACTTGGTTTATTATTTTTTATTAATGACAGGCCTATAAAGTTGCGTAGCTGAAGATACATACCTGTATTGTCTTCAGAAGGAGAGTGCCCATGATGTCAGCACTCTCCAAAATCAGCTAGCCACGTGCCTGTTCCAAGGGCTAGGTTAGATACTGTGCAAAAATTATTTCAGCAGTCTATCCCTGTATGATGTTATGAACCATTGAGGAGTGTAGGCAGGTTTTCCTAAGAAGTTCTAATACTGCAGCTTTGCCGTAATCCAGTTTTGCAAGTCTGGGCTTTTTGCGTGTAAGCCTAGGTTTGGGGGGCTTGGGTTTTTTTACTTATATGGCTACTTAGTGGTTTCAGTTATTAACTTGGAATGGAGATAACTTTTTATTTTCAATTATCAAGTGAATTGGATATTACCCTGAAGCTTTTCCTTACGTAGGAAACCTTTTAGATTTGTGAATGTTCTTCCACTTCATGTGGACTAGATGGGTATTCATGTTTTCCTTTCAAACATTAATTCCTAATTATCACATGAGGAAGTATTCTTCTTCTGTAGTGCAGATAATATTTAAATACTCTCTGCACTACCACGCTGCCATCATCAAAGGAAATTAAGGAGGTCCCACCCCAGATAACATTTGTCACAAAGTCAAGTGTACTCTCCTAGGAAATAGCCAATATGTGTTCAGATGTCTTTAAGCAAAAAGGATTCAAAATTGTGACTTCTAGGTAACTGCTCTAATTGAGTTAAAAGGAGGTGATATCACTTGGTCCTGCCAGTTTCTGTAACCCATCTTCTCATTTGTTGTTGTTTTTTTTTTTAATCTTTTCTTTGGCCTGGAATGTATTTTTATTTTAGCAAGAAAAAGTAGTTTTCAAACCAATCTTTGTTGATATTTTCTTTTTTCTGTTTGATGACCAGGATTCACACAAACCTGTTACTTTGACTCTTAATGATAAGGACTGCATTCCTTCATTATGTATTAAAACATAATTGAAGGGCTATTCAAATTCAAATTAATGATTATGTATTAGATAATCAAACTAGTTTGTCTTCAGACAGTAGTCTTCCTTTTGACAACTCAAAAGATGAAGATTAATGAAAGTTCGGTGGAAGAAAATTGTAACATTTTAATGCACGTTAAGATGTGAAGATTTTTAGCTTTCATTCATTGAGCAAGACTGTTCAAGCTCTGTTTGTGTTATGAATTTATTTTGGGAATGGCATTCAGTACTTTTGTTTTATCACCAGCCAGACTGCATCTTAACAAAGAGACAGAAGCTTGTATTCTAATAGTTAGGCATAAGACTTCTTTTCATCTTAATCCTACCATTAGGGAAACTGATGACAAGGATACTAAGGGAGTTGACTTAGACATTATTTATCTCATTCATTAACAAAGAAAAAAAAAATATTTCTCTATTTTCCTACCTTTTAGATAGTGCAGTTTTAGTCCAACACTATAAAAAGTTTAAAATACTAAAAATTTCACATCGTGTTTGATCTGACTTTTCTCATGGTAAAAGAAAAGCTTTCAAAATCTTCTGACAGGGGATCATTTGTGGCTTAACTGTCCACGTTTGTTTCTCATCCTGGGACCCATGTAGGTTGTCCCACTGCCAAATAAGATCCTTTTTCTCCCTCTTCTGTTGTCTTCAGTCTTACATCGAATTTATTTTGTCCAGCATAATTTTTAACTCTTTGCTGTTACTTTCGTAGGATTAAAAATATTTACACTTAACTAAAAGTTATATATATTTCATCATTTGTCATGGAACTTGGTAGGATAATGTTTTTCTCTGTCATGAGAGTAAACTCAATTTTTTAAAGTCAAAGTAATTTCTTTCTGTAACTGTTACAGTTCCAAATGTGTAGGTAGGATTTGTTGTTACTTTGCTGTTTAGTACCACTCAAGTTACATATTGTCTAGGATTGAACTAATAATTTAGAATGTGTTTATAACTGTTGGAAAAATGCAGAAAACTTTCTACTATTCAGGTATTCATCATAAAATAGCTGATTTTGTCAGTGTCACTTCCGCAATGATTTTATCTGCCTTTGGCATGCTCATCTTTATTTTGTAACTGTATTTGGTACTTGATCCCAAAAGTTTCCTTCTCCTGTTTAGTAAAGTAGCAATAGTAATTAGTAGCAATTGTATTAAATATTACTTTATCCAGTAATAATTGTATCAGAAAATAGTTTGGACAAATGTCCAGTGCTAGGTAGTTTACCATAGATTTCTTCATAGGTTTTAAGACTAAAAGATACCATTGTAACATCATCTATCTTCCTGAGTATCATGGGCCATGCTATTTTGCTTAAGTTAGTCTGGTATTAAATACATTAGCTTATATCTAGCTAGACTGTAACTTCTGTAAATGTGTTTAGTCTTGAGTCGAAGACATCATGACATGGAGATCATTACCTATCTTTCTGTGTTTGAACATCATCTTTGTAACAAATTTGCCTTTTTATTTGTTTCCTGTAACAGAAAATCTGCTTATGATATTAGCTCTAAAGCCATAATATCCATACTATTCTAACAAATAAAGCTCAACAGGTATGTGTCAAATCCGAATAACCTCTATCTACAAGTAATATTTGCAGATATATAGTAGGTAAACAACTGTTCTTTAAGTTTCCCATTGAGAAAGAGCAGAATGAGCAGCTGTCTGTGGTAAGCATCTTCGCTGTGGCTGAGTTGACCATTAAGAGAAGTTTCTGGTAGTATGATAGATTCTGCCATGGCTTTCTGCACCACAAATTTAAAGAAAAGAGGCTTTTAAGTAGCAAATACTGCTACTTTATTTGCTACTGAAGTAGGAAATACTGCTACTTTCGGGTATTCTTTCCTTCCAAGCAGTATTTTTATGAAGCGTTGCTGACAGATTGAAAGTATGTATTCAGCTATAAATATCACATATTTTGGAGGACTTGTGCTATCTCTGATTTCATTTTGATTTATTAAAAGTCACTTCTTGTTTTTCAGCACTGGAAGATGTTACTGTACAGTAGTAATTTGCCAAAAGAGTACAGTTTGTGCTATGAAGGGTAGTTAAACCAGTTTTCTATCCAAATCAGTCTCAGCTAGATGAAACTTACAATGAAGATTGAGTGTTTCTATTATCAAAGTAGAAGAACTGGATATTAAACCTTTCATTTATCCTTGTCATTGAGTGCAATCACTGTTCAGAAGGATGCACTCCTTGTTATCTTTTAAGGACAAAAATATTATTAGACACTGTGGTCACTGTGCTTTAAAATATTATTCCCAAGATGGATCTTTGTAATGGTAGTAAACATTTTAGTCTATTTTTTTACTTTTGGCCGTGAATGTGGAACACTGTGGGGAAAAAAGCAACTGATGATATCAGTTGTACATCCTACTGATCTAGGTGGTTCAGTATTTAAATGTAATATCAATATGCTTTAAAATGTCTAAGTGTTCAGCAAAGATTTCAAAGAGATCTACCTAGAAGTTATGGTTCTTAGGTTAATCTTTTATTTATCTAAAGGCTAAAGAAAGCTGTCTACTTCTGTGATATGAACTGCAATCAGCTTAAAAATAATTGACAAATTAATCCCCTCACAGTGCTGCAACTGTAAAGGTGTTAGGTTTAGCTGGACTTGTCTGATTGGCTTGTCTAATCAAGAATAAAGGTGTTACCTTTGATGTCTAAGATTTAGGAGGTACACCCCAGACCTGACAAGCTTGTGTTTTTTAATTATTGATCCCACCATTTCTGCCCACAAAACCCTTTGTGCAGCATTAGCCTCACACCAAAAGGCTAAAATGAAGACTCCTACCATTGATGTGTGTGAAGACATGCAGGACTTTTAACCTTTGGAAAAGCTGACCTGTATTGGCAACTGGTAAATTGGTAAATTGATCTACCTGCAATATAGAATAGTTCGCATTCTTTTCCCCGTGTTTCATCATGTTATCTCTTATTTCTTATTGCAGCCGCACTGATAGCTACCATACAAGTGCAAGTTTATTTCAGTAAGGTCAATTGTGGAGTTCCTACTTATTATGTGTAGAAGTGTCATAACTGTGCCATAAATTAATTAATAGATGTAATCCATTTTCATTTTCCCAAGCCAAGGAAATCTTAAATTTCAAACCTATGTCTGCTTGAGCAAGTTGGAATAAATATACTTCTATTTCAAGATAGAAATCTGTTAGTCTGGGCAGCACTTTGTTAAACAGGATGGCTTTTCTTTGAATAATTAGGTTTGGGGCTCTGTGAAAGGCTGGCATAGCCAAGCATGGAGTGAAAATAGTTTAATAGATTGTTAAACATTGTTGCAGTTTTCTGAACAAAGCTGTTTTCAAATGGAGACTGTCTTTCCTGTTTGCTCTTAATTGCAAATAATGAAACAGTATTTACTAGAAAGTTATATAAAATACAAAACTTCTCCCTTTACAATAAAATGGAGGCGTGTGTTTTTCTCTAACAGCATTACATTCTGTATATTCGTTTTGTAATAAATGTACCCAAACCTATAGTATCAGTGAAGAGCCCGAGCCTGCAAGTCCTCCCCGGCATCCAAAGTTCAATCGTTCATTTAGCTTGCATAATGTTGCCCTTTTTATTCACCTTCTGCACATCACAGATTCTTTTCTTCGATTGCAGGTGAATGAAGCCACAGTGGAGCAGCTAGTGCAGCAGTATCCACATATAACCTTCAGTACTGTACTACAAGATTGCAAGAGGACATTGGAACGGGCTTATCAAATGGGCTGGACACCCAATATGTCTACTGCCTCCTAACCTCCGATACCAACCTGACAGTTCCACTCTGCTGCATTCAGTAGATATAATGGGGATTGCAGAGGGTTCACAACCTTTCATATGATGCAATATAATTGTGAGTTTACAGAGGTTACAGTAAAATGGCAAAAGCTGTACACTGACTTTAATGTACTGTACAACTAAGTACTAATATTGAAGCAAAACTTTAGGAACGCGTTGTATTTTTGTTTGCATAAAAAATATAAAAGCCTTTGGCAGATTTCTTGAAGTGGATTGCTACTAGTTCTCGTTATAGTTTGAGTTATAGAAGATGTTAAGCTTGTTTTCCTTTGTTTACTTTACTTTGCCTTGGTCATGTGTGTTTCCTTTGATTTGTAAATGGTAACTCAGTGCTAGCACCAGTGCAGTTGATCAACAGAGGCCTCTGTTGAAACTGGGAGATAACTTGATGCTTATTATTTACTAAAGCTACCCCAGGAGCTTTTAGATGCACAGTAATAAGAAAAGCTAGAAATAATTGTGATTTGTAATTTTACAAATCATTATTTTGAACAGAAATCTTAGTAAATGATGATAATGACAGAATAGATATTTAATGGACAATCTTAATTATTTTCTTTCTGTCACTCAACAGAACTTATATCTTCTTTCATTTTGTTTTGTTTAAAATAGCAAATGCTGTAGGGATTCCAAATCTTTCCACCTTGCCATTTTTATAAGTGAGTTAACAGTGCTTAACCTAACACTGATAACCACCTCCCACTTCCTACAGTCAAACAGCAATTGAATACACCAACTGTCAGAAATAAGTTAACAGACGATGTTTAAATATCTGATTGAAAAAAATGGGTTTTTTAAGTGACCTTGTCTCCTCTGACTATGCTGTTATGTTGCTGAATTGGAAAATTCAGATGAACGGGTGTAAGCCAGTAACAGGATTCTTCTCATTTCCTGTGTGGTTGTTATTTTACGACAGATCTTACAATGCAAAGAGTGCTTACCTCGAGAAGGCCATCTAAACATGAGCCCCATTGTGGGTGTCATTTTGTAGGATCAGATGCTTCGTCATACAGTTTATGCAGGAAAGTACCCACAGTAAATACATAAAACGAGTAATTTTCTGTGTGTCACATTGCATTTTAAGGAGTTAAATTTGACATGGGGATAGTTAAAATACAGACAGTGCAGCTTCAATTTGAAGGTGCATTAGCCTTTATAGTATTACCATTTGGTTGAGAATGTTTTCAGGTGTGTAACACTGGATATTTTTTTTTCAAAGGTTACAGCATTTTAATCCAAAGTATGCAATGCTTAAAGCTGAAGAGTTGCCATTATTGTCAAAATGTTTTGCTAATCCAGAAGGTCTAATGCAGTATAACCTAGAAGCTTGTTTAGTATGGCTGTATAACTCTCTGTAAAACTGTTTGTTGATTTCCATAGCATAATTTTTTACAACGGAAACATCAGCTCACAGTAATTCCAGTGAGGTGTTTAATGTTTTCTTATTAGACTTTTCAAAATGGGGATGAACTAATTTCTCTGGAAAAAATATATGGTAAAGTTTTTGCTTTAAATAAGTGGTAAATACTTGTGAACATGTGTAATGCTAGGCTTTTTATTTACTCAAAGATGGCAACAATATTTTCAGAATAAAGCCAATGGAATATATTGCAGATATAGTATAGAATATTAGTCATTTTTCATTTAATGTCTTTTTATGAGTGCATTAAAACTATTCACACAATTTGTAAGTTTCTATTTTTTCGTGAAACCTTTGATCTTGCAATGGGATTTAATAAAAGAAAGAAGAAAGATATGGTGTCTTCTATTTATCTGTGCTGCTTACTGTACTTAGACTATGCTAAGAGAAAGACTGAAATCTCCATCCTTGACTATGCAGAACTCACCTGGGCTTGGTCCTGAGCAAACTCATCCAAGCTGGCCCGGTTGAGAGTGACAGACTTCAACTTGATGAAATCCAGAGATCTTTTTCAATCTGAAATACTCTATAACTCTAAGGGGTTTTATATATTACAGATCTATTTGGTCATCTCTTTTCCTTTCTGTCATTAAGTCAATTCCAGCAGTTTTGCCTTTTACTGACTACTCGCCTCTCTCTTATTTTTCTGAACATACTAATCTTTATAGATTTCAGTGTGGCTAATTAATTTCCATGCATCTTGGCATTTGCATAATTCGGAAGTTTATATGATACAGGAATTCTAGATGGAATTACGTTCTTCTAACAGCAGTATTGCTACAGACAGCTCTTTAATTTCCTTCTAATAAATCAGTGTTTCCTAAGTAGTGTTATAGGAATAAATAACAGTGTTGCACACTCTAGCTTTTGAAATGTCATTTAGGGGAAATACCATTGAGGGGAAAAAGAAAAGGTATTGTCTCTTGTAAAAAGAAAAATTATCCCAGTTTTCTCAAAACTTACAGTGGACTCACAGGCAGCTTACATGCTGGATATCCTAGGTTCCAGTAGACCTACTTTACTGACAAAATGTCTTTGTTCCTTCAAGATCTTTGTGGGAATTTGCCATTAAGGTAGGTAACCTGTGGCTCAGCATTTGCCTTATCAGGACATTTCTAGGCTGGAGGAGGTGGGCTTGTTCAACCTGCAGAAGAGGAGGCTGAGGCAAGCTCTAAGTACTTTCTTAACTAAGCAGTAAGTGGTTATAGAAAAAAGACAGATAACCTTTCTTTTCAATCATTCACTCTTCTAAATCCAGGTATAATTCTGTTTTAATGACACTCAAATAGTTCGCTTGGTGGTCACTCTACCCATCTCTCACCACTTAAAGGCAATGTGGAAGGGAGTGTCCTCACACAATGTGTCCTAGCAGGGGAAATGGCTACCAAGGAGTTTCACACGCAGATCCAAGTTCACTCTGCCCAGGCTCCCAGATTAGTGGGAAGTTTAGTGAATTGCCAACTTCAAGCTGGTATACCCCCCTTTTCAGCAAGTGCTCTGTGTAGTACTAGGCAGCTTCTAGTCATCTTTGAGCATGGTGACAAAGTTTATTTCTTTGAAAAGTATCATAGATAAGGATAAACTGATACCGGGATGGCTACAGGTGGCTATTGGGAGTGACTTTCAGCGTTCTCAAAACCATTGCTCAAAGGTCTTCTGTGCTACTCCTACAGCAACTGAGTCTGCTTAACCTTCAAAACTCAGCCATGGCCCCAGAACCCAGCTGGGTTCACTCACAGAAAACTTTTCTTCCCCTGTAGGTCCTGCAAAAGAGTTTGAGCCATCCTTGATAGTCTCCTAGAGCTGTTAAACTTACCAATCTACCTAGCCGGATTTTCAAAAACAGTATTTGGGAAAACAAATTTTAATCCTTTTTGGATGAGAAAATAGCCCTAGTGAGGATAATTAACCAACAGTTAATTTTTCAGGCTCTGAGCTGGCTTCCACATGAGCAAACTGATGTGCAGCTATATTCTGAAGAAATGAAAATGGCCTTGCTGATGCTTGATAAACTGTGGCATTGACAGGAACAAAATCAAGAAAGGCAGCAGGTCACATACACAGTGGTTATATGAAAACATAACAGAGGCACAAAGCAAGATTTTTAGGAGGCTGACAGGGTCTTCTTCAGGTGATGTGGTCTTGAACAAGGAAAGGAAAAGGACTCCCACATCTTATAAATAATTAGGATAGGGTGGGGTGGGGTAGGGTAGGGTAGAGTAAAATGGAATGGAATGGGGGAGGAGAGGAGAGGAGAGGAGAGGAGAGGAGAGGAGGGGAGAGGAGGCGCATGGAAGCTCCATGGGCTTTAATGGTAAGAATATTTCCTCCAGGTGTTACCAACTACACTGCCTTGGAGGCTGTGTTGGCAGGAGAGGAGAGGAGAGGAGAGGTGAGGAGAGGAGGTATATGGATTACCATATACCTGTTGTAAAAATATTTTTTGTACAAAAGTGTATCTGAAATTATCAGTATTGTACTTGATCTTGAGACTACAGAATATGATAGAAGTTGTTTAAAATAGGGGCTTTCTGGTTTTGAAACTTTTTCCATATGGGGTGGAAGGTTCAAGTACTATTTTCCTCTTTTTCTCAGTTTGTGTAGACACAGTGATGACAAGACATTTATTTTTCATTGAAAAATATGTGAAAACCCTGCCTCTAATTGGTTTTCAGATTGGAGGAGAGGAACTGGAAAGAGCTTGTGTTTGCCCAAATCTTGGGTCAGGTTTGCAAGCTATAAAAACTGAGGCCAACTTTCAGGTTAAAAACAAAACCTCTATTAGTTGAATTGTTTGGTGTTTTCCTAGTTTTGCTTGATACATTGTAAACAACTTGTCATGTTTTCACCCCGGTCAGTAGATAGGGCCACGCAGCCACTCACTCACTGCCCACAACTGGGATTGAGGATAGAATTGGAAAAGTAAAAGTGAGAAAATTTGTGGGTTGAGATAAAGACAATTTAAGAGGAAGAGCAAAATCTGTGCATGCAAGTAAAGCAAAACAAGGAATTCATTCACTGCTTCTCATCAGCAGGCAGGTGTTCAGCCATCCCCAGGAACCCAGGGCTCCATCACGCATAATGCTTACTTGGGAAGACAAATGCCATAACTCCAAATGTCCCCTCCTTCCTTCTTCTTCCCCCACTTTATATACTGAGCATGACATCCTATGGTATGGAATATCCCTTTGGTCAGCTGGGGTCAGCTGTCCCAGCTGTGTCCCCTCCCAGCTTCTTGTGCACCCCCAGCCTGCTCACTCATGGTGTGGTGTGAGGAGCAGAGAAGGCCTTGAGAGCTTAGCAACAACTAAAAACACCAGTGCACTATCAAAAGTATTTCTCATACCAAGTCCAAAAAATAGCACCGCACCAACTGCTAGTAAAAAAAGTTAACTCTATCCCAACCGAAACCACGGTGTTCTCCACCCCTTAATCCATCCCATTTTGTGTCATGCTCAGGTCCCACACTATCCAGTGCATCCTCATTAACCACCACCCCCCTTTCCCTTTCCCGAGCTCCATTTGTTAGATTGTCTGT